AAATATAAGATGATAAAATAAAAAATCAATTTTGGAGCCACGGACCTTCTCGAGGAAGGGTTCTGGCTGATCTTATTCCGTTGTCCTGGGAAAAGAGTCGTGTTTGGCTTTGCAATATTTACAATTCCCTTTCGGCAACCCACGCTCCCTAGGCAGTAAAACAGAGTTTTCATTAAATGATACGTCTGACATTTACCAAATCTTGATGTGACAATTTAGAGGGAACTGGCTGCATTGAACAGCCTTATTAATATTGCAGTAACATGATTAGGGGAACATCATGGTCGTTTAGGCCAAAGGGACTTTAATTTATGAGCGCAATGGAGAAGCAGATACAAAGCCTCAGTTCACCAAAATACCCAAATCTTAACTTGTTTTCTGTTTACTCCCTCCTTGCATCTGGTTCGTGTTCATGATAAGATGTGAGCTGGTTTAGATTCTTACTATCCAAGTAAGGGACTTTATATCAAACAATCAAAACCCCTCAGAACGGGACTTGGGGCTGAAGGTAAGCATGCACAGCTGCACTGGGTGCTGAATCCGAACCTGACACTTCTGGAAGATCTTCCATGGAAATCCCCATTGTTTCTTGCCCGTACAAGCACTCTGTTGCCGCCTCTCCCTGCGTTACTGAGAGAAGCTCCTGTTTATCCGGTGTCCTGGACCAGTCCTGAGCTGCAGGAGAGCATCCTCAGGAGCCCCGGGTAGCCCCAGGCAACCCAGCAGGTCCCGAGACCCATCAGCCGCAGGGTGTGATTGTTTGCTTCGAAAACAAGTCTGAAAATGGAATTTAGTATCTCTTTTCCCAGTTGTAGCAGGAACAATTTGGGCAAAAGTAGCTCATGCTGTTGTGGCAATTTATGTGAGAGCCATGGTGGTAAATAACAGGGGGAGAGGGAGGGAAGCATCTCAAATCTCATCAATACTTAAGACAAAAGGCTTTCTGCTCTGCAATTACTCTTCCTGTCCTTCCCCCTCCTTCCCCTAGGCCACAAGCAAGAAACCTAAATAGAGATCAGGCAGCTTTTAAATGCCACAGGCTCATAAATGAGAGGAAATTCAGAGCTGTAACTTTGCTGTGTGCTGTTTGGGTCTGTAAGCAAGTAGAGCATCCTGCAAGCTCCACACAGCGGGACCAGCAATAACTGCACCGTCTCTGCCAAGAGCCTGGCCGCCCTTGTCCCCGGGCCCCGGCGTCTGCCCCTGCGCTGCTTTTGGGGCACTGGACAAGCGAAGAGCCCGGCTGCTGGCACCCGGGGCAGGTCCCGCCGCCGCACCTGGGCGCACGGGGATCTGCGGAGGGGGGGTGGGGGGC